AGATGCCACATTTTATACCCCATTATATTGCATTTTATTCCTACAACTCTAAAGCAAGTCTGCTCAAAGAAGGCCCAGTTAAAAACCAAATCGTCAGAACAATGAGGATATTATCATCAAACATCAGTTCCATCACAGTTGTAAGAATGATGGCCACCACCCATTGAGCCCCCACTGTTTCCAAGTGCCATGTGAGATGCCTGATGGATGCTGTCTCCTCTCGGGCAAACCTTGGCCTCTGGAGGGACAGTGCCTCCGACGATCCCACCACTAGAACACAGCAGAACTGGATTTCTTCCCAAGTCTCTGACTAGCACTCACACTTTCCCCCTCTGCATCCCAGGCTTTTGTTATGCCTCAATTTCCAAACAATTTAACAACCCAAACAAAATAATTTGGACTAATTGCAGTATTAGACTTTGTATTTTCTTTCTTTCTTTTTTTTTTTCCGGTACACGGGCCTCTCACTGTTGTGGCCTCTCCCATTGTGGAGCACAGGCTCCGTACGCGTAGGCTCAGCGGCCATGGCTCACGGGCCCAGCTGCTCCGCGGCATGTGGGATCTTCCCGGACCGGGGCACGAACCCGTGTCCCCTGCGTCGGCAGGCGGACTCTCAACCACTGCGCCACCAGGGAAGCCCTGTATTTTCTTTTAAATCATACTGATACACAGGCTCACCTCAGAGATATTGCAGGTTCGGTTCCAGACCACCAAAGTAAAGCAAGTCACACACATTTTTTGGTTTCCCAATGCATATAAAAGTTATATTTACACTATACTGTAGTCTGTTAAATGTGCAATAACATTATGTCTAAAAAAATAATTTACACACCTTAATTTAAAAACACTTTCTTGCTGAAAAATGCTAACCATCATCTGACAGTGCAAGGTTGCCACAAACCTTCAATTTGTAAAAATTGCAGTATCTGCGAACCACAATAAATGAAAGCACCATAAAACAAGGCATGCCTGGATCATTTTTCTCAACTGGCATTTTTACAAAGACAGTTTACCCCTATGGCTTACTCATTCCCTATGAAAGGAGCTGATGTTCTTTGAGTTTCCAAGGGTAACCTGCCCACCTCTGATTCCCTGTAACACCCCAGGACAGATGCCCTGATGGGCTGCAGCTGAGGAGGACATTTGACCGCTCCCCTTCCTCCTTTACCTGAGGTAAGCCTAGAGGTGCCCGAGGCTGGTAAAGGTTTGATAACAGACTTTTCTCACTTTGTGTTCCTATTCTGTTCAGCTGGTGTTGAAATGCCAGTGATTCCTTCCCAGACACCTCTGGTGGAAATTTACCACATAGCATAAACCACTCATGTTTATTGATAGATCCATTTCCAGAAAGAGGTCAGTTAACTTGTTACACTTTAATATATGGGCTTTGGATTAGGTGAAATTATACAAGTGTGAATTCTGCTTATTAACTCTTAACAAAAGAATTCCCAAGTCCTGCCACTGTTACCTTCTCTATAGTTCTCAAGTCAGTCCCTTTCTCAGCATCCTTTTTACTCCTGTCTAGCTCAAAACTGAATATGCTCCTACCTGGATGACTGTGGCAGCTGGTCCCCCTGCCTCCAGGCCCTGGCGAGCCAGGGTGAATGCCCAAAAGCCCAATTTGACCATTCACTGCCCAGCTTACAGTCCACTAGTGGCTCCCTCAGCTGTTGAATCCAGTCCAGTGTTCCCAGCCCTTTAGTCTGCCCTGTGTCACAGCACCTCCTGCCCGCCCACTGTTCGTGAACCCGTCTGCTCGGAGCCCTGACTCGGAGGCGTGCTGCCTCTCGCCCCCGTGTGTGTGTCCACGCTCTGTCCTCGCCCTGTTGCTTCCTTCTCCACCCCACGTTTACCCAGCTGACCCCCCTTCCTCCTCTAAGACTACTCAGTCAGGCGTCGGCTTCTCCAGGATGCTGTGTCTCTAGTGGCCCTTCCGCCACCAGGCCAGCCGCCTCCCCTGGGGTCTCCGCAGCATCTCGCTGGGATCACCTCCTTCGTCATGCTCATCATACTTGTCTCTCAGTGTTCCTAGTGTTCATTCCTCTGGCCACCCAGCAAAACAGGGATCCCTGGAGCAAGGGGAAAAGCCTCACAGCAAAAACTCTCTCGGAGCACCTTGGCCCCATGCTCCGTGGCTCCAGCACGAGTGACAGCGTGGCTCTGAGTTAACTAGAGCTTTCCCTCCGAAGTCCTCCCACAGAGCAGGAAGGGGCCGTCTGCTGTAGCTGTCCCAATGCACCGCACCCGGTTTTTAGCTGTGTGATAGTCTATCTGTGGCTCTGTAATAGTTACAAAAGGGCCGAGCTGTTGAATCCTAATACAGGTTCTCCAGATGGTGTTCTGTCTCCTCTTCCCTCAGTGATGTGAATGCTCTCTCTGGAAAGGACAGATAAGTCAGAGGCTTCAGTGAGATGGTCAGGGCTGGAACTCTTCATCACTCTGACTTGCTTCCCTCTTCCTTGGGGGTCTGGTAAGAGTGCTGGGGACAGGCAAAGGACACACAGCCTCCTAGCTCAGCACAGTACACGGGTGGGTGTTTGTAGTCACCTGACCCAAATATGCAGCCATTCCGGACACTCGATGTGGGATGATTAGTTTGTTTTCATCCTATGATTGGTGTGCAGATGAACCACAGGCCTCCCCTCCGTGAGCCCGTGCCATCCAAGGGGATGGTGTGGAGGCTTCCTTCCAGAGGCTCCCAGGCCCCTGCAGACTGCATGTCACGTGTGCCATGTGTAGATTTGGCTCTTCCTAAAGAGTGCAGGACAGGTTTTTAATGGTGTCCCAGTTGTTCAGGCGAAACATGCTCTAGTATCTTGAGGTTTGGGTTTTGTTTTGTCAGTGACGAGCGGGACCAGGTGGTGTAGACAGTCCATGAGATCACTTATCAAAGTGGTCAGTGAACCCCGAAGCTTCGGGTCCACAGACCTCCCTAAGACCTTCTGGTCCTTTTTAGCTGCAGGCACTGGTGTCTGTGTCTGTCACGGCCAGGTGTCAGCAGTAAGGCCTCCTGGAGAGGGTGTCTCTGTTTGTCCTTCACAGCCCTGTGACCTTCTTAGACGGCTCTGCTTGGTCACAGCATGGCCAACAGAGAGATCTGCATTGTTCTTCCACACAGTGATATCACCATCAAGGCTCTGACATTCTGAGCTGAATCCTGTAAAGATAAAAGAATACACACATACGCTCACGTCCATACATACAGATACATCCATTCATGTGAGATTCACTTCTCAGGAACAAGTAATTTATATATTCACAGAATGATTAGCTTTCAGCTAAAAATTCTAACATTTTAGTACCACGATTTAGAATCAGTCTAAATTTGTCAAGTGACAGAAAGCGAGGTTTTTCAGAAATTATTAGCTAATTTTTTCAATATTGAATTTATAGTCACAAAGTATATCATAATGATGTTTCGAGGATAAAATACCAGCAGCTTAACTTTTCTGGCCACAAACGTACAGCATGTATCAGTCTATTCTTGAAGATCTGAAGAATTAGCTACTGTAAATAAAGTTTCCAAGAAGATTTCTCGGGGAAAGAGGTGAACTTACTTACAGTAATATGGGTGATATGTTATTAATAACTATGACCAGCCACTGCTTCAATTAAAAGGACAGTGGATGAGAAGGCCTAATAGAAAGGACATGCTGAATTTTAATCTCACAAGCACTGAAGTCTGCAGAAAAGACAAGGAGGAGTTGTTTCTGAGGCTGGTAGGAGGAAGCCTCTGGGTAAGAGATGTCACCAGCTGCTCCTTGGTCTGAGAATGTTTACTGAGCTCTGACTATTCGTCTCTCTGGAGCAGTGCTCCTTTGGTTGCCAGTAATGGAAACCAACTTCAAAATAGCTTAAGGAGAAAGAGGACTTTCTTGGAGGTCCACAAGGGTCTCCCAGAACCCAAGGACAGCATGAGCTGATGGGCCAGGGAGAGCGTCACATGGGAGTGAGGACGGCGGGCACCTATGTCTCCACTTAGAGGAGGGAATCTGATTGGCATGTTTGGCCCAAAGGACAGGCACAGGGGGTGCGGACACGGCTGCAGGTGGCGTGATACGGTAAGCAGGTTTCTTTGACAGGCCGAGCACTGTGTGGGAGGCCACATGAGAAGTGTGCCTAGAAATGTATCCCACGGAGGTGCCAGTTGAGCTAAAGTACCCAGCATTGGCTGATCTTTTGGAGACAGGATAATGAGAGGGGACATCCCAAGCGTGGGCAGGTGGGTATTTGCAATGCCCTGGGCTTGCATGTGGCATCTGAGAGTGGTGAAGTGAGGTGAGGCTAGGCCAGGAGGCAGTTCCAGAAATGACAAGGTTGCCCTGAAGGTGGTAGGAAAGGGTTACAAGAGCATGTGGGTCTGGGGGTGGTTTGTGTGTTCAGGGGGTCAGACCCCCTGAGTCAGTCTGCTCTGTGAGGTGCCAGCTTTCCATGGCAGCCTTTAGAGCAGCCTCTCCACGCCCCCCGCCGCCCCCAGTCCACCCATCCTTCCAGGGTGGAAATGACCGGAGGCCTTGGGCCTTGGGAGCAGCTTCCACGTGGGATCACATGACCAGGACTCCCCTTCCCAGCAGGATCCAGGCTACGGAGAACCTTGTAATAGCGTTACTATCGGCCTTCCTCCTTCCTGTTGCTCATTTATGTGACTTTAAGCACAGTTATTTTTAGTAATAATTTGGAGTTAATTGGCCTTCTGCCTTAAAAAACACCACCTTTTCCATGCGACTATTATGTAGAAATAGAAAAGTAGAGCTTTCCTAATCTGGCGTCCCTGGAACACCCTTCGGAGTGGAATGGGACCTAACTAGCCGTTTGATCTGCCTGCTCTCTCCCCACCTGTGATGAGAAGGTGAACGACTCCTGGGAAGAGCTGCAGCCCTGCAGCCTCCACTTGCTCTCGCTGGAACTGAAATGACAAGGGGAGAGGAGAATATGGGGGGCCTCCCCCAAGGTAGCCTGCCAAGAGCCCCCTCAACCCTGCCTTTTCTCTCTCCCTCTAGGTCACGCGATATTTAAACTCACGTATCTAAGCAATCACGACTATAAACACCTCTACTTTGAATCTGACGCTGCTACCGTCAATGAAATCGTGCTCAAGGTGAGTGTTCCTTCTCGGCCCAGACCTGGCGTATGCAGGACCGGCTCCCCCCCAGCACTGCATGAGGCTCCCGGGCCGGTTTTGCAGGGTCACTGCACTGCCTACGGGTCACCCGGCTGGTGAGCACCCAGGCCTGGGCCACACCGCAGGTCACCTGCTCTGCACCTGCTTCAGCCAGCCAGGACCCCCTTCCGCTTCCTCCCAGTCCCCCGATAATCCTCCTCCTTCATGTGTTTATTCATTCTTTTTATGTACCATTTATTTCCCTCCAACCCCACTCAGGAGCTCCTTGAGGTTCCTGGAACAGACTCTGAGGAAATTATTGTTATTGTTTGAAGACAACTTAAAGTAATCACGATAATTAACCTGTTCTAAACATACCCGGCTTGATGCTAGAATTGTCTGTTACCATATCTCAACAGTGCTCACGGAGCACCTTCTGTGTGCCAGGCTAGTACTCAGGATACTGCAGTGACAGACCCAGTCCCTGCCCTCAGCGAGCTTGTCCTCTTTCAGAGGAGACAGACGTTAAGAAAATTACAGAGAGGGACTTCCCTGGTGGTGCAGTGGTTAAGAATCCACCTGCCAATGCAGGGGACACAGGTTTGAGCCCTGGTCCGGGGAGATCCCACATGCCGCAGAGCAACTCAGCCTGTGCACCACAACTACTGAGCCTGTGCTCTAGAGCCCGCGAGCCACAACTACTGAGCCCATGTGCCACAGCTACTGAAGCCCACATGCCTAGAGCCCGTGCTTCGCAACAAGAGAAGCCACTGCAATGAGAAGCCTATGCACCACAAAGAAGAGTAGCCCCTGCTTGCCGCAACTAGAGAGAAAGTCCGCACACAGCAACAAAGACCCAACGCAGCCAATAAATAAATAAATATATATTAAAAAAAGACTGTTAAATAAGTCACAAGGTGCCCCATCGGTGTATAAAGAGTAAACTGATTTGGTACTGGGGGTAGGGAGGCAGGGAGAACTGAGCCCTGAAGGATGGATGGAAAAGCACACATTTTACCAGGTGAGGAGAGAGAAAAGGCATTTCACAGAGAGAGCAGCCTGTGGCGGAGCAGAGAAGCAGGGAGAGTGCGGTGTGGCTGGGAGGTTGCACCCAAGCCTGTGTGTCTGGAGCAGAGAGGTTGCAGGGGCCAAGCCACACAGAATCTTGCAAAGTGGGGTCGGACTGAGAAAAGCTCCCGTGGGGTCTCGTTGGTTCAGGAAATATGGATCAGGGCCCGAGATTCTGTGTCTCTAAGAAGCTCTCAGGTGCTGCACAGGATGACGTCTGTGTACCACACTCTTGAGTAGCCCTGGACTAGTGATTTGCAGGCTCTTCCAAACTGAGAATCCTTTCTCCAAGCCAAATCTTATGTAGAATGACCAGATAGAGAAAACAGAACTGCTTTGGCAGAACAGGGCTTAGAGCCAGAGGGGGCTTCTCCACCCCTGGTTGTGTGTGACTCTGACCAGTCACATCACCTCCCTGGGCCTCAGTTTCTCCTCCTGTAAAATAGGGATCATGGTACCTACCCTGCCCTACCCCACCATAAGGCTAATATTAGCTGCTAGAGCAAATATTAAATGGAAGCTACCTAAGTGATTTTTCGTTCTCTTCTTAAGAGTAGATGTCATCAAGTAATAGTAATAAAAGTACTAAGATAATACTGAGGGGTCACAAAGTGCAGGACCTGGGCCAGGCACTTTACCTGTCCTGTCTCAAGGAACCTTCACACCTCTATGAGGTAGTGATATACAGTCATTCCCATTTTCTAGATGAAAACTGAGGCTCAGGAAAAAAGTAACTTAGCCAGGGTTGTGACAGGCAGAACCAGAACTTGACCCAGGTTTGGCAGATTCCAGAACTTGTGCTCCTAACCTCCCAGGTGTGCATAGACTTAAGGAGCTGAACAGGAGATTTCGATGAAATGGAATTGTTTCACAGAAACATTTTGAGGCAAAGTCCTCATGGCTTCAAAAGATTTTCAAAAGTAGTAGATGAGAATTAAAAGAATAAAGCTGCTAGGAGGACGGTTTAGAGCCGAGACAGAGTAGCGTGACCAGTTGGATGGAAAGCAGAGGGTTCATAGACCACCCCGGATTGGAGCCCCTTGGAACAGGCAGGGGACAGTGCCCACCTGGAGTGCCTGAAAGCAGCGAGCTAAGAGTTACCTGCCAGCGCATCCCCCGACGACCCAGGGAGCACGTGCCGCACTCCGGGGCCAGGTGGAGAAATATTCCATTACCCCGTCAGGGCTGGCCTTTTTTTTTTTTTTTTTTTTTTAATTTTTTAAATTTACTTATTTATTTTATTTTTGGCTGCATTGGGTCTTCGTTGCTGCCTGCGGGCTTTCTCTAGTTGCAGCGAGCAGGGGCTATTCATCGTTGCAGTGTGCGAGCTTCTCATTGTGGTGGCTTCTCTTGCTGCAGAGCACGGGCTCTAGGCTTGCGGGCTTCAGTAGTTGTGACACACGGGTTCAGTTGTGGCGCACAAGCTTGCTCCACAGCATGTGGCATCTCCCTGGGCCAGGGCTTGAACCCATGTCCCCTGCATTGGCAGGCGGATTCTTAACCACTGTGCCACCAGGGAAGTCCTGGCCTTTTTTTTTGTAGCCAGCATTAAAATATTCAAGGATTTTACTAGAAGGATTCTAGTAAAATTATAATCCTGTGTTTGACATCAAAATAATTTTCACAACAGCAGATTGATGACAGAAACACAGGTTCATGACTTCAGTGCAAGACTGTGGAAGAACGAGTGCAGAGAAATCATCTTCCAGGACCAAATGCTCCCTCGAAGCAGATGCTTTTCTGCAAAATCCCCAAGGCCTATCGCCTTCCCTAAAATGTCTGTTTTCATATGAAAATGCTTGTAGAAATATTACATCATGTACAAGACTCCAGGAGAAGTCCCAGCCTGATTTATTTAGAGAGCTAATGATCGCGATCCTGATGGAAGATTAAATTTCACGTCTCCATCTCTGATTTTTAAAGCAGTTTAAATACTTAGCCCAATCTGCCATTCCCAATGTCTTCGTGGGGCTTTGCACCAACACCAAGTGACTGAGGCCCCACTTGGTAGAAATGTTGCCATCAGAGGTTCTTCTCAGGTCGGTCTTCGACGCAAGTAATACATGTGGTGGTTCTAGAATTGAGGAGTTTCACATAAAATAAGAGCTTTGGACTGAAACTTTAGACGAGCCACAGCTTGGGCTCTGACCAGTGTCTGCAACTGAAAGGAGGAAATAAGGACCAGAGGCTAATGTCAAAGAAACTATTACAAGCAGGCAACTCTCCAAGTTATTTTTAGCTCGTTGTGTTTTTCCCCATAGGACCCATTTATTGGTCACCGACTGTATACAAGACATTTTATGTACATTATCTCATTTCATCTTTGCAACTGCCCTGCCCAGTGTAGACATTATTATCCCCACTTTATAGACGAGGAAAAAGAGGCCCAAGGCCACAGAGCAAATACAGGTGGAGCCTCATCTTGAACCAAGCTGAGGAGTCCCAGACCTGCCCTGCCCCTTCCCACCCGAGATGGGATTGAGCTAAGCCCTGTGTGGTCCCTAATTCTGCAGGCTTCTAGGTGAATCTCAGAGGAATCATTGGTCTCTTCAAATTGGGTTCTTCTCGTGATCGAGTGATGGAGGCTGTGTCTTTATTGACCATGAAAACTCCCTATATTTTTATGCCTTAAGCTGTAAAATGCATTGAAAGTGAAACACTCTATAGTGCATAAAATTGTGCAAGTTTTAAGCCACAGCATATTAACCAGCTAATGGCAGACCAAAGGGCGTTTTTATCTTTTGATTATTACATTAATCTTCCATTAAAATTATCTATGTGATTATCACAAAGCACTGAAGATAATAAATTTAGGAAATACTTGGCCTGTTGAGGATCATTTTAAAATGCTTTTGTCAAGTTACATGTGCCAAAAATACACTGAAAACAGTAGATTGGTTGAGTGTGCAAACAATCGAACCCAAAGATTGCTCTTATTAAGAATGATAAACCTCTTCTTTCCATGCATTGTCTCTAGTGTCCCAAATCGTCACTTGGCCCTGCAGGCCTCATGATTTATTGCTCTCAGCTGGTAACTTGGCGAGGCAGTGGGCCGAGCGCGTCAAGCCTTCTGTACTCACACACCAGCCTTTAACGCCTGCTGCCGGCGACTATCAGAGCAGAAAGTCTGGAGGGGACACCGTGGCAGAGCCCCAGCCCCACGCGAGGCGAGGCATCTGTACCGCCTCCCCGGAGCACCTTGGTTTTTTCTCAGTCCACAGAGGCCTTTCCCGCTCTGGGCGCGGGACACGTGGCCCTCAGAGTACAATCAACAGAGGGGGCAGCTCGTTTCTCTAGCCAGGAATATTCAGGGTTCTAGTCATAACTTTTAGATATTTGAGGTTGAAGAGAAACAGTGTTTGTTCTCAGAAAGGCCCAGCCAGAGGGCAGCTGGGGCAGTGGAAGGAGCCGAGTCTTAGGAGGTGAGGGGGTGGGAGCCTCTGAGGAGGCCCGGGGCCTGGAGAGCTGGTCCAGGTCCTGGCGCGTACTCTTTCTAGCTTTGTGACCTCGAGTAAATGACGTTATCATTTCTGTGCCTCAGTTTTCTCCTCTGTACAATGGGGATAACAATGGCAGCCATCTCCTAAGGCTGTTGTGAGGGTTAAATGACTCAATCCTTGAAAAGCACTCCAAGCGCTGCTGCTGCTGCCACCGTCACCACCACCCAGCCAGGGGCTCATCCTCGCACCAGGCGCAGGTCTTATCATGGCACTGCTGCCCTTCCCTGGCTCCTCCCTGCCTCACCTTGACTGATCCCTAAGCTTCTGCAGTTCATGGACACCCCCTTGCTGTGTTCCACTGCTGTGCCTCGATGCGTGCTGATTCTCCCCACCCCTTGTACACCTCAAACTCGTATTTGTCTCTCAAAACCCATCTCATTCATCCCCTCCACAAGCCTTCTCTGCCCCACATGTCCCCGATAGTTACTCTCCCCATTCCTTTCTGCTCCTTCTGTATCTGTTGTCACACTTGTTCTGTTGGACACTCACTAGGCCGTGAGGTCCTTGGGACAGGGACCAAGTCTTAATTTTCCCTCTGCCCCTTGAACCAAACATGGGGTGAGGCTCAGATAAGGCAGGTGCTCAGTGCCAAAGGTGATGGTGACAGTGACCATCCAGCATGGGGGGAAATCTGAAAAGACCCCAAGAGAACCAGGTGGGAGCAGCAACATGGAGACCTGGGAGGCAGCTGGCTGTGCATCCTGCACAGAGTTGCCACGGCACCTTTCCCGGCTTTGACCCTGACCTCTCGGTGATCCGGGCAGCTTGGTCCTCTTCTCTGAGCCTCACTTCCCTTTTTTATCAAATGAGCCGTAGCTAGTGGGGTGCTTGTGAGCATTAAAATACCCCAGTTGGAACCTCTGTACCTGTTGGTGGGAGGCTGAACACAGAGCCTTGTTTTGGTTTGGTTTTCATCCCTGTGACGTCCTCGTCTTTCAGACGAGGGAAGAGGGGGCTCAGAGAAGTTATGTGCGAGCCCAGGGCTACACGGCAGGCTGGGGGCAGAACCAGGAAGCCCGGTACACAGGCTTCTTCTGGGAGGGACCACGGGCTCTGGAATCAGAAAAGCTCCACCACTGGCTGAAAGGCCTGTACCAGCCTCATGTCTTCTCCAGGCGTGTTTTCCCGTTGTGCAGTGGGCTCCGGTCGCAGCCTGCGGGGTTGCCGTGATGACTGGACGCCATGCACAGGGGTGCACTGGGCCCGGAGGGCGCCCAGCCCAGGGCAGGGCCCTTCCCTTGCTCATCCCAGGCGAGCAGAGTGGCTGACAAGTGATGGGCTGTGTCGTCTTGCTTTCTAGGTTAACTACATCCTGGAATCACGAGCAAGCACTGCCCGGGCTGACTATTTTGCTCAAAAACAAAGAAAACTGAACAGACGTACAAGCTTCAGCTTCCAGAAGGAAAAGAAATCAGGGCAACAATGACACCGGCCTCCAGCTTCAATCTGTTGCCATAGCTCAGAGCCTGCCTGCCAGGGCCAGGTGGCCCTAGAGCCCACCCTGTGTCCTACAGTCCTCGGGGAGGCCAGCCCTTGGCTCACGAGGACAGGGCTGGTGGGCTCTTGGGGAAGGGGGGGCAACCCCCTAGAACAGAGCTGGGGACGTTGCCATGGGGCCGAACCCTGAGTGGTAATGGCTGATTAGCAGTGCCCGGGGCCGGACGACACCGAGAGGAGCCACAAGCTGCCCAGCCATCTTCACTGCCTGACGGCCCCACCCGAAGATGTACATAGCCATGCCCAGACATGTCCTTGCAACTTGATCAAACTTCTTAAAACAAACGAAGAACAAAAATGTACGGTTCTTTTTTTTTCTTCCTTTTAATAAACTCTTTATCATGGTTGGTATGATGGACCGTTCTTTGGGGCAGAGGATTGATTATGTTATTCTCTTTAAAATCTGTTCCCATATTGAACCGGCAGATTGGAAAAGCTATGGCTCGATTTTTCAGAAGAAATGTTTAGGATTTAGTCAATAGTTTTAACTATGCCATTTGTTTAAATGAGCGCATTGCTTTGAGGATAGTATCTTACTAAAGTTAGGAAGGGGACCGAGTGATGTGTGTCCAAGGCTGCGCCATTTTCCCCTTCAGAAGCCTCCTCTCCTTGGCTCATCCCAGCACCTCTATTTCAGGAAGGCAGGACTGCATGTAAAGCTCGGGGCTCAGAGAAGTGGGGGTCACACTGAGCTCCCAGCCAGAAGTGGTCTCTTCTGTTTCCTAAGTAACAAGTCTAAGTTTCAGCTGACAGTTGGACCCGCATGTGGATTTTTTCTGGACTCAGAAGAGTCTCTGCTGTGCTGTCTCAGAGGCACCTCGGCTCCGTTTCTCCTCTCCTCACAGTGCCTGCCCTCTGGTCTGAGCAGGAAGGAAGTGCTGCTTTCACTGCATCAGAGACTGCGGGGCGGGAGGAGCTGCTGCCAGGGGTCCAGCTCCCAGGGGGTGGGGGGCAAGGAATCAGGTATCTGCTGACACCACCCCTCTGGCCACACCTGATGCCTCTGTGGTCCTCGCCAGCCTCTCCAGGGTCCCTCCCAGGGTGATGTCCTTTCGCACTGGCCCTGGCCAAGATGGTGGACTGAGGTTTCATTGAGGACCTGCATTTCAAAGTTTTTTAAATCATTGTACAGGAAGTGATGTGGCTGAAACAGCCTCTCACAGTTGAGGGTCCGTTTGCACAGAGGCACCTAATGAATTCCTCTTTCATTCTGATCTTTGTTCAGCCAACAGAAGCACCCTTTTCTAATGTCTTCCATTCCTATCCACCCCAGAAAGAAAAGACATATTATTTGTAGCTTGCTATCTGTATTTGAATTTTTAGCAATTTTATATTTAGATATCTTTGAAAAATGTAAATGACTAATTTGGTCATTAAATCTTGTGACATATTCAATATTAAAATAAAAATCATAAACACCATCTTTTACGTATTTCTTTGAATTCTTGAAGCCTTGCGCACATACTGCTGAGGGCGGTGACCGCCATGAATCACTCTGGGCGGTGACACTTGCTGGCAGTTGATGTGGTGCCAAGCGGCTCTGAAATATACTGTGGGCCTCCTTTAATACTGAGCAAGACAGGATGACCCTCTTCACTCAAGGGTGACATTGAAATCATCACTTCCTTCAATTACAAAATCAACACCATTCTCATATCCTGAAATACAGCACATGTGCAATTTACATGAAACACACACTTGAAGGAATAATTTAAGGGGAGCGCTAACCACTGCCCAGGTCCACCAAATATCGAGACTGTTTAAATTCAGTTTTTCCTCGGCCCCTCTCACACCCGATACCTGGATTTTAAGGTAAGACTGTGAGCACCTCTCACCTGTCTCCCCAGGGCCCAGCTCTACAAAGCAGGAGCTCAGCACACCCAGGTTACACCCAAGTGACCCAGCAGGCCACGCCTCCACCTTCCAGCGAGTCTCCTGACCTGGCTCCAGTGTGGCCCCCACGGACCTGATGGTAACTCAGGATGGGGACTTTACCAAGTCTGGGTGGCCTGACAGGCCCTAGCAGTGGTGCCTGGAGCCCTGGCCTCCGCTCGCCACTGAGCAGCCCCCAACATCTGAGGGCAGGCTGGGTGCCGGCCCCTCATAAATATGCACAGGCACAGGTGATCCCGCAGCCAGCCTCTGGCAGGTCCTGTCACTACCTACATTCCAGGGTTGAGGACTTGGGGCTTGGAAGGGTCCCACCTTCCATCTGGGACACAGCGAGAGTGACTGAACAGCAGCCGTGCTCTGAGCCTCTGGGCCCTGCCCTCCATGGCTAGCGGCTGCGGGCCTGAACGGGGCACTGCCTTGCTGGGCCTCGGTTTCCTCATCTATAAATGCAGGTGCTGGAGTAGGTGGTCCCTGCAGACCCTTCTAGAGAATGTCTTAAATGTCTCAGAATCACAGTGAGCCCAAACTTCCTTCCAGTGGTTTCTGTTTTCCAAAACTTGCAGGAGCTCCTCTGCATCTGAACAAGAAGCTAAGAGTTGAGGAATACTGTGAGCTCGCTTCATCCAGCCTCCTCCCTGGAGCGGCAAATGTATGTTTCCTCCCAGGGTCTTTGGGCCTCAGCCTGCAGACCTCCAGCGACAGGGCGCACTGCCGTTCAGGTCAGTGCTTTCCCTTGTTGGCCTGTTTGGTCCCCCTTGGCCAGGACTTACCGGGCCTGTGCCGCCAGCCCTGCGTGCCAGGTCCCTCTTCCCACCGGGCACGGCAGCTACCTCCTAACCCCTCTCCTCCCTGGTCCCCGGGACCAGTCTCCCCACTGCCTTGGGGGCCTCTCAGCTGTGTGGAGACCATGCTGACATCCGTCTGAGTCTTCTCTCCATGGGTTAAAAAGCTGGAAGGTTGTGTCCTCCCTTTTCATGTCCCTAAAGCCTGCCAGCTGCCCCTTCAGGTCCCCGGTTCCCCAGGTGAGGAACTGGGAAACGTTGGGACAGAGGGGAGCAACTTGGTCATCATGACACAGTCTGGTGAGGTCAAGAGGTGGCAGGTGACCCCCAGGCCACACTGCAGCGAGCGCCATGCAAGCCCTGTGGGGACCAGCATGGGCCAGGTGAGTGCCAGGCACAGCGACGGGCGGTGGGGGCCTGGGGGCCTGAGGTAGGGAGGTAGGTAGGGAGCGAGCAGTCATGGCTTCTTGACGTGCTGTGGCCTCTCAGGGGAGAAGGAAGCCCCCGCCCCAGTGACCCCAGGGAGGGAGACACTGTGGCTTCACCACCCGGCACGGCATCAACAGCTTTTGAGCTTCCCAGCTGGCGAGGATGGCGGCTGCCACAGAGGCTGAAGAAGGGGCCCCGAGACTGGGGAGGGGAGCCAGAGGTGGGGAGAAGGGGTCTGCGCCTCTGCCCCGCAGCCCCTGGCCTGCTCCCCGGTACCCACATCGGCATCCCCGAGGGGCCACCACGGCCTCCGTGGCAGCCCTGGCAGGACCGGCCCCCCGGCTCCTGGCACAGCTCCTGCCACCTGACTCTTGCCGGTGCTGCCAGGGCTGCACTCCTCCTTCCAGAGGGAGGAACGGGAGGAAGAGAAGAAAAAAGCAGGGTCTTCCCCAGCTCAGGGTCAGAGGGCTCAGGGTGCAGACTCGGGACCAGACCCCAGCCCCCCACACCGTGGCCTGTGAGCTGAGCCTCCACCTTGTGCATAAGCAGCAGCATCCGTCCCAGAGCCCCGTGGGGATCAGTCGGTCTGAGGACTGAGGGGCCCCTCCCAAGTGTGGGTCCCGATCCCAGCCCCTCCTCACCGGCCTCACTCCCTCCGGGTAAGGGGCTAACTCCTCTGTGCCACGGGGTCCCTGTCTGTACAACGGGATGAAGACGCCAACTTGCAGGGCTGGAATCAAGACTCAGTGAAACAATATACGCACAGGGCCTGGTGTGTGAACACCTGATAAACGGCCACATGATGTTGGCATCTGTCATCTTGCTTAGTCCGGTTGTGCGAACGCCATGTTCTCCCCAGTGGTGACCCCCTGAGGGGGGACCCGGCTGTGCCGAGCTGTCCCCTCCTTGAGTTCCAGAGTCCAAGTAAACTGCCGTGGCAGCGCCAAGACCAGCTTCCTCAGTGCCAGGAAGGAGGGCACACAGGCGCCGGGCCTGGGCCCTCTGCCCCAGGGACAGACGGCTTGATTTGGGGGCCCTATGCTGCGAGCCTGCACCCTGTCCAAGTCCCAGAGCCAGACTCTGCGGCTCTGCCCACCCTGTCCTTCCTCACCAACTGACTCTGTGAAGCGAACACTCACTGAGTGCCCTCGTATGAGAGCAGACCCTGGGGTCGGGCAGATTGTGCTCAAATTCCAGCTCTCTCCTGGTTGGTGTGTCCTCAGATGAGCTACTTTACTTCTTTGAGCCTCAGTTTCCTCTTCTGTAAGATGGGGACAATAATACTTTCTTCAAAGGGGCCTTGTGAAGACTGGATGAGTTTACTAGGCAGGATGGCTGGGCTGCAGTGACACTAACAGCCCCAAGGCCTCAGTGGCTTTAACATAGCATGCACTTCCCATCACACAGAGTCAGCCATGGTCCAGCCGCCTTCAGGCTTCCACAAAGGCACAGGTGGGGGACAGAAGGGCTGGAGAATGGGCAGCAACAATGAGATACTGTGGTTCAAAAGTGGCGCATGGGGACTTCCCTGGTGGTCCAGTGGTTAAGACTTCACCTTCCAATGCAGGGGCTGCAGATTTGATCCCTGGTCGGGGAGCTAGGATCCCACATGTCTCGCAGCCAAAATACCAAAACATAAAACAGAAGCAATACTGTAACAAATTCAATAAAGACTTTAAAAATGGTCCACATCAAAAAAAAAAAAATCTTTAACAAAACCCAAAAAAGTGGCACACGGGTCCCTTCACTCACATTTCATTGGCCAGAATCAGTCACCTGGGGGACAGAGAGGTGCGACCACCCAGGATGGGAAGTCACAAATGTTGGGGAAACAGTCTCAATGTCTGCCACCATGAGATGACCCTGTGCTTCCCAAAAGTGCCCATTCACAGGCCGCCCCAAGATAGCACCTCATGTACAGTGAAATATCTTCCCTGATACTGATCCAGGCTAATGCTGCTCTCTACATTAAACTTCACCCTAAACAAGAATGGCCATGGAGTCCCGGGTTTGGTGTGCAGCATATATGCTTTCTGGTGCACACTGAAATAAATACATAACTGTTTAAATTGAAAACATCCACCCACACACCCCTGAAATCACATCGTGAAGGACCACAGTCACACCTCCCACGCTGGTGAAGGTAAAGTTAAGTTGATGCTGTTCTTTTATCAGTGCCTGCCCCCTGCCTCTTATTAAGCTCTCAGAATAGATTAGTTACTATTCTATTAACCACTTTCTCAGTCCATCCACATGCCCACCTAATCCCCATTTTACACATGAGGAAATGGAGGCAAAGAGAAGCCTCCTCTGAGGCCATGCAGCTGGGAAGTGATGGAGAGGCTCTCCTGCCTCCCACCTGCTCCCCCCGCCATCAAAACAAGCTGTCCCCAACCTTGCTGGGCCTCCATCTCGGCTGATGTGGCCCAAATGCCCTTGATCCTGAAGGTTCCCTAGAGGCCCTGCTGGGAGGATCCTGCTCTTTGGAAAGCAGCCAGGAGAGGGAAAGGGTTAAGCCTGTCATGTTGTGTTCCCACCAAACACCTCTGCTTAAATGCAAAATCCCAACAGGGTGGTGTTTGCTATAAAAGCCCTAAGAGTGATTTGTGAAGTCTGGAAGGCCTGTAATCTCGTCAGCGTAATGGGATTATATTTCAAATCACCACGGCCTGTTCATTACCCATTTAAACTCCTCTGACAGAGGAAAACTTACATAAACCGTGCTCGGCAGCCCTTGCCGATTTCCCCACTCTCCTTCCTGATTAGACAAACAGATGCTGAGGTCTGGAATGAAAAAATAATGTGCCCATTTATTCATTTTTCTGACAAGTCACAGTAGATTTTTAACTGCCAATGAGTGACCTCCCGGAGGTGGTGCGGCTGGGAGGTGGCCGCCAGGCAGCGAGTGGTCATTTCCTGGCCTGGCTGGTGATGTCTGCTGGGACCAGAGCTGAGCCAGGCTGAGCCCCTCTCCTTGCCCAGGCCTGGCTGGGGCGGGGGGCTGCCTGCTGGGCCTCTCAGCTCAGCTCTCACCACCCAGAGGGGGCCAGGGACCTCCTCAGGGTGACCAGGACGCAGCCACAGCCTGAAGTCGTAGAGCCCCAGCAGGAATCCTGGCCCTGCCTTACTCAACCAGGTGACCAAGGACAGCTTTCAACTCTCTGAGCCTCAGTAGCCCCGTCTGTAACATGGAGAATGTAAGAGAGCTCATCTCGGAGGTGTGGGTTCAGGGTGCAGCTCCCACCCCAGGCTTCCAGGGACGGCATCCAATCAGCACCACCAGCTGTGCCAGGCCCTCCTTC